GCTGCGAGACCCGCTCCTATGTAATTATAAATAACGAATTCTAAGGCAACGCAAATATTAAGGTTAAGAGGCTGAGTTTGTAGATGATGATAAATAACATAGTTATGTATAATATATTACATTTCTGACTGTATATCCCTGTAATTATTATACACTGTAGCTTTAAGCTCAGGTTGACAAAACTCAGTTTGACTCAGCAAAACTCAGCTTGGCTAGAGTACCCAAAACTGGCAAACACTGGCGTTGAAGTAGTGGCAGTCAGCAGCTTAAGAGCACTCCGTTTAACGAGGAAACCATCAGCAGGTGTGTGAGGAGACGGACCAGAACCTGGTGGATGAAGGGAGACAAACACAGAAACACAAACACAGAGACAGGAGTCCTGACAATTTCACTTCCGGCAGATACTGGGATGGGACGTCTGGCTAGCAGCAGAGGTTTTCAGAGCTTCTTAGCTCAGATACTGGGAGCACAGATCCACTCTGCATAGATTCAGGTTTCTGTCTGTTTTCATCTGATCAACATCCGTCTCTTTGATGTGTTGAGCAGTTCAGGTGTGTAGTGTGCATCAGTGGAAGTCACGTTCAACCCATGGATGGATTTCTGAAGGAAACGGTGGATTATTTCCTTAAGTAAGGGATCATTTCTAAAATCTGTTTAGAAAGCATCATTTTTTACAGATGAGAAAACCAATCAGAAATGTTTGTTCAAATATGTCTTAATTTCAATGGCTTGCCTTGCTGTTTAAGGAACTCTGGGAAAACTCGCTTTACTAAAGATGATGAAGCGATCTGGAGAGATCTGCTGCTGCCCATCCCCTCTGACCCCTCCCTCAAAGTGGATGTGAGTAACTAAAGCCAGAAATCTGCTGGTGGCTTTCTTCTTGTTTCTTCACCAGTTTAACCTTCTGCTGATGATACAGTTTGGGTTGATTCAGGAGAAACAATAAAATAAAGGCTCTTGTAATATCTGATCCCCCCAGGTGTTTCATGTTGTAGGAAAAAAAAAGATCTAGATCTTATTCGACCAGAATTTGAGATGGAAATTGAAATGTTCCTGCCTGTTCTGCTCACACAAGATTTCATTCATTACTTTAAAAGCACAGGGAGAGATTCTCCAAGACAAAGCACACAGATTTCCACAAACAGAAGGATTGATGAAATAACCTGGAGTCTCAGAAAGTCTAAGCTTTTACCAAAACATTAAAAACTAAAAAAGAGACCCGAATTAAGGCCTGCAAGCAGGTGCTCTGCTGAAGCGAATACGTTTGGAAGTAATTAAATAAAAATCAGTTCTCATAATTAACAGGAGCAGGAATATAAGAGGAAATAGATTTTTAGACCACTGGTTTGTAACAACCGAAATCAAACAGACACAGATGTAGTGTCAGTAAATAGATGAGTAGAATCAGCCTGGCAGAAATGTTCTGGACATTTCATAAGCTTCTGGTTCATCACAGAAAGGATCCTGATGTTTGGTTCTCTGGGATGTTTGTCTGCTGTGAGTGAGATTCCTGTCACAGAGAGGATCTTTGCTGGTGACCCGTCAGTAGGGTGTAAAGAAGGAGGCGAAGGATCCTCCCCCTGATGACAACCAGTGAAGCTCAGTTCAGCTATTCATGGAAAATGTAATTTAATCAGAACCTGTACTATGAAAAGTAATCACACCCTTAAAGATTTTCCTTTTTTGGACTACTGTTTAGTTCTTCAAATTTCATATTGAATTGATAATATTGATCAAATGTTTATAAAACAATGAATAAAAAGCAGCTTCTTCAGCCGAGGGTCAGATTGAGAGGAGCCAGTTGAGGAGGCTCGGAGTCTCCCTGGTGAGGTGTTCCAGGCACGTCCCACCGGGAGGAGGCCCAGGGGGAGACCCAGGACAC